TCTCCAGCTGAAGTAGGTAGAAGCTCATTTAGCAACTTCAAAACTTCATATACCTGAGGGAAAAAAATATAGGAACGATAATACCATTGAATTTTGTAACCAGGACATGAATATAAAAATATATACTTGGATTTTCTTAGGAAGTCAGTAAACATCCTGAACTTTTATTATAATACATATATCGGGTAGTTTAGTCACAACATTGTCATGGAAAAAAAATTGATACTCTAAAGAATTGATAAGAATCAGTAGCCCTGAAAAAAGAATAGAACATCAGAACCACTTTTACAGGTCAAGATGTAAACCTGATTGCAATGCCCATCCACCACATGACTAGATGACATTCCATGTGAGAGTTCATATGTAGATAATATATCCTTTAAAGTGCTGCTTATATTGAGCTCATATAGAGTCCTGAAGGCTACAACTGAACCAGAAGAAAGTTTTCCAAGTAGCCCTATCAAACCCTACCAACCAAAGTACATTTGTCAGAACATACTCCAAGGCAGTAAAATACAAAAGAGGCGGATCTCAGGAACATGATGTTGAATGCCTACATTACAAATTGGTTGGGATAGAGTTGCTCGGTTATTCAAGTTCATAAAATGCGTGACTTGACGAATCAGCCCGTGCTTACAAAGTTGATCCAGCATCTCAGTAGACTGACTCACTCGTTCTGTAATTTTAATCAAGCAAACAGCAACATTTTCGACAAGCTGAAAAATTAAAACAAAAGTCTGAGTTAGAAGGTCATCTGAAATCTATTTAAAAGCCACAAAAACACACTTCACAGTTCGTACCTGAGGATCCTCGTACTGGAGAAGATTGCAAAGTATAGGAACAGCCTCCATGAAAGGTGAAGGGCATTCAGAAGGAAGTTTCTTACAAATGTTCACCACCGTGGAAAGGGCAACTCTCTGATGCAGATAAGATATAAATAATATAGGAAAAAAACTATTTATAACAAAACAAAATCTTCTTCCATGAAGATAACAACACCAATTTCCAATCAAGAACACATCAGAGATTGAATTAGATTGAATTACCTGTATGCTTGTCGAGAAGAAATCAATATAATTCAGAACAGCCATTATTGCCCCAGCCTGTAAGCACGCAAGTGGTTGCTCCCGTGACATTTTCTCCAATGCTTGTAGACACTGCATAAGAACAATAAAAGAATCCCATGTATCCCCCAATCTTACAGTGTATAAACAATACCATAAAGATCATTAGATCATGCATTGATGACATAAATATGACCACGTAAAGCAACATTACCTGCTCAGCTACATCCAAGTATTCAATAGCCATTAGTCTTTGGCAAAGAGCAGGAACTGCATCATGTCGGACAAGGAAGGCCGATGATCTCGGATGCACGTCACATAAATAAGTTATAGCTCTTATAGCCAATAGCATGATATCTGGGTTAGTCTCGTGCCTAGCGAGACGAACAAGAAGTGGTGATAATGAGTCTGATGTCATCCCAGATAGTGAATCCTCTGTACAAAATGATAGGACTTCACATAGCTCGGTGAGCACAGCTAACTGCCCAGAAGGATCAGTCTCTTCACTTAAAGATGATAAGATCCTCTTAAACTTTCCATGATCACCCGAAGATCTCCGTCTCTGATAGTCCCGGAGTTCACTGTGTCTAGGGTCTGCATCATCAGAATCACAAGACCCATATGCTGAATCCTTCTCATGTTCTCCCTCGGACCGGCTAGACGCTGAAGCAGAGGATGTAGTGTCCATATCATGGTCATTGGTTTCAGGTGTGGAGTTCATAGAATTCATATGGGTTTGAGCAGACGAGTTCGATGAACTCGGTCTAAACTCCAAAGAACTACACGCTCGCTTATCCGCAGGCAATTCATCGTCAACCTCAGTACGCTTTTGGCCACGACTTGCCATTTATAATTCAACCTTTAACAGAAATCCAAAATATATCTACTCCTGCATGATCAGAGCATGAACTCGCAGATTGAGTCACCTTAACTCTAGTTCTAAAACTGGGTTCAACCCAGAAATCCAATTCAGAATTACCAAACAATTAAAAAATAAAACTTTCGCATTAGAAAACACCTAAAACAGAGAGCAAGAAGCTTATATATTCTAATACAGTAACATCGAAACCCAAATACAGATGATCGTCAAAAAGCACCCAGATGATCATCAAAAAGCTGGAAGCAAAATGTATTTTATTTATGTGAAAGCTTGCATTTTTACATCATACCTGACGCTCTCATGTTCACTGGCAATAGAAATTGTGCAAACACAGGCTCATCCAACAAAACCGACTCATAAAAAAAATCTCCAAACAAAAAAACAGATAAAAAAACAAAACAGAACAAAACAAAATTTGCGTTAACACAAACACATCATTAGTGTTATATAGATGTGAATATGAATACAGAGAAGTGTGCCTGTGTATTTATCGAAAATGATAATTAATCAAAATTGGGAATTGTGGTCGTTTAATTGTACCTAAGGTGCTGTAGCTGTTGATGTTGTTGTGGTTGCTGTAGTTAATCGGCCTTCGAGGGAGTCGAAGACCTGAATTATAAAAGGAAAGCTTCGTGTAGGGTTTTCGTAGGTGTAAAGGCTCAAATGGTCTCTGGTTTCGCCTCTGGAAAATTTAAGGACGATGACGGTGATGATGAGGGTACGGAAGCTTAGGGAGAGAGATATATATGGGTGATGAATCTTATTGAACATTGTGTGCTATGGAAGATGTCGTAGAGTTGAAGCTCACTTGTTTTATTTATTTTATTTCATCCCTATTTTTTCACATTTTATATAAGTTGTGTATATTTTTATAATAATAAAAAAGTTATTTTTCTGTTCTATTCTTTTAGGAACAAAATAATTTGAGAAAATTTTCGGGCACTATTGCAATTTTATTACAGTAATTATTACTAGAGTATGGTCATGTGATAAATCATTTGCACATTATCATATAAATAAATATTTTCCAACTAAAAAAAAGAATATTTATTAATATTGTATATTAAAATTGAAAAATATCAATTCGTATTTACTCATATTATAACACGTAAATCAATTATATTATGTAATCATATAGATGTAAACCAAACCAAACCAGAAAACTGAGAGGGAAGGATTGGGTGGGGGTGACTGGCGGTGATGACAGGGTAAGGTGGGGGTGGGTGACGGTGATGAGATGGTGGCGTGCAGGGAGGAGAAGATGGGGTGCTAGGGTTTGGGGAAGAAGGTGGGTGCGGCAAGAGATGGTTTTTTATTTTTATTTTTAAGTTTATATATTTATTTATATTTTATATTTGCTTAAAAAATTATTATTGATTTAGAAAAAGAAAAGGAAATAATATTAAAATGAAGTAAAAAGAAATTAATGTAGAGTAAGGGTAAAATAGGAAAGAGACAGAACAAAAAAGAATAAAATTAATTAAAAAGTAATAAAAAGTAAAAGGGAGTGTAAGTGGAGAAAATGGGAGTGGGAAAATCAGCTCCCTTTTTTTTTTATAAAAAAAAACTTAGTATGCAATTAGCATGGAACATATTTAGCAAGAAAATAACGTATACACTTATATTTATTTATTTTCTTCATAAGAATTGCACTCCTTTATTGTTAACAGGCCTCTTAAGTATGCAATTAGCATGGAAATAGATATTTGGAATCATTATCTCCTGTTCCACCCAAAAAAAAAATCATTATCTCCCCAAAATCTCGGAAAGATTCTTTACCCAATTTTCCTTCCTTAATTAGAATTCTATTTCTATTGCTGGCAGTTAAGATATAGTGTGCTCAAGGTGCATGGTGGCTGATGTAGGCTCGAACCTGATGGCTCGCGCGGGACCCTCTGGGTGGAATATGATTGGGATGGATTTGGACCGTCGGATTTAATAACACCGCCTTATGAGAGCCTTTAGATGGGCCCTAAGTACAATGCTCGATCACAAAAGAATAGAAATTCAAATTGTATGCTTTGTGCACAAAGAAAATCACACATTGTTTAATCCTCGGCATATCTGAACCGGATGATGGTTGTGATTGATCAAACATGGAAAACTAGGCAACTTTAATAATTATATTGGGCCATTGGTCAATTAAGGAACCGAATCTTAAGGTACCACCCTTTGCCAAATTTGCCTCTATGTAAATTATGTACTAGGTCGGAAGCCAAGGAGCAATACCAAGCATGGCCTGACATGAAAAAGCCAATGCCTCGTTTGCTACTGCCCAAAGGCAACAAATCCAACATTTTACCAAGAAATGACACCTTAATTGTAATTTGTACCTGAAAGTTGAAAAGAAGTTTGGTAGGTACGAACCGGCTATGAAGCGCACACGGAGCAATTATGGGTTCTGAACGACATTAACGAGTAGTAAAACAGTCTAGTAAAGGGATGACGTGTGTAATTTACAGCGGAAACATTAGGTACATAAGCATACAAGACATGGGAGGCAAAGAAGATTGCTAGTCAACTTTTCTGTGCTGCTCTCTATTCAAAAGAAAAAAAGAAATGATCAACAGGTATCTTCCACTAGGTTAACTACGTAAGGGTGAAGAAAGAGCAAAGATTGGTGCAGCGCCAGCGAGACAAAAAGCCTAAAGTCGATTGACGTGAAATTTGGGCGCGCAAAAGCAACAATTCGACGTGGAGTTTGGCCAGCACACGGCGAAAGGGCAAACGACATTCTCCCCCACAGACTCCTCTTTTTGCTTTCTACTTTCTAACTGGATTCGTTTTCCCTAGTCGTACAAATTCCATTGATATTTTATGGCTAATAATAATCGAACAATTAACTTAATACTGACTTTAAAGCCTCAACTCCAAATTCTTTTGGGTTTATTATTCAACAAATAATATAGATAATTATGTCAAGCACTTATCAACTCGAATATTGACCCCATCTTAATCTTTCAAGTCAAAAGCAGTTAAATTTTTGGGAAAATGATCAGTTAGATCTATATAACCTGTCGTTCCAATTCCACGTAAAACGGACTAAAATAATAATATAACATAGAAATTTGAAGGGCATAAATTTCCTAATCAGTTTGATATCAAGACATGCCATGACATGTTACAGATGAGAAGAATGAAGGATCCTCCTGAGGTTTACAATACTATCATGAGAGAGACATTCAACTCGAAGAAACTCCTAACTTACACACCAGAAAATACTACTGGACACAGAGCTCTAATACTCACACATTATGTCATTGACTAGAGAAATAATTTAATATGTTCCGGGCACCGAATATGATCCCCTTAAATAGGCAGCTAAATTATTGCATCGACAAGACGACTGGATCTACTCTGTCCCTTGCATAGGAACCATCATACGTTGGCTCTGCAATAACAAATCATTCATTAGACCATGTTGAGTACAAGAACCAGAAAACCAGCATACTCACCACTAGCAAAAACATTTCAATAGTTTCATAAACAGCACTTTTTCAAAACCAAAATATAAATCAAACTGTAGAACAAGCCAAACATACTAATATAATGACACTACTATTCATCAGTTGCTTTGCCACTCCCACATCTCATGCTCTCCCTATCGAGAAGTTTTAACATTGTACAGTAGTCTCAACCACTGGAAAGCTGAGTTGAAAACACAATGCCTTGTGTTGCTCATAGATCCACCAACATTGATATAGATCCACAATGCTACAATGCTAATCTTACCAACATTGTATGCTATAAAGAATAATATTATTGACCCAATATCCGCAACTACAACTCTACAGAAAAGCACCAACTATAAACACTGAAGCAACAAGTAAAAACTTCGGAGAAAAGCAACTTGGAACTTTTCAAAAGAGATTCCAAGTGGGACAAAATTTACATCGCTGCTTCAAGTGATGCGAACGTTAAACTATGGAACAAGTACAAGAAACAAGAGCACCCACACGAAAACCATATATGTTTAAGGGTTTAATGCACCCTACTACTGTGCAGCTTTCACTTTATTCTGCAAAGTAAAAGTCATCCACTTTCCACAGACAAATGATCATTGAGCATATCATCACAATTCTACAAATGACATGCACAACTATTACATATAAAATTGAAAAGCACAACTTTTCAAACATTAGGCACTAATGACCACAAAATTGTAACTTAAACCAAAGGGAACAAAACCAACCAACCAACGCCAGTAATAAGATAAATCCTGCTGTGAAAACAAATTTTGTCAATGATTCTGTCTGAAGAGCCATCATTTGAATATACAGAAATCATGCTCAAAATATCCAAAGGAAAATGGTATAGTTTATACATGGATGGAAATGATTATAACTTATAAGTCATACGGAAATATGTTGGCAATAAAGGAATCCGGTCAATATTATAACACCGATAAGTACTACACAAACATGATGAAGTGAGATAATAATATTTTAAAACAGATAGGTATAGAGAGACAAAGAGAAAGAAATTACTTGAGAATTTGAGTAATTCCCTCCTTGGGAGAAAGAACCTTGGCGAGAAATCTGCCAAATTAAAATAAGACAAATTAAAAACCGAGAACAAAACACAAAAAAGGAACCTTGCTTCATTAATAAAACAAAATCATACTCAACCTGAGCATTCGAACTTGGCTGAGGATCTTTCTTAGAAGATGAATCTCCACCCTTCCCTGAACCCTTGGTGTCACCCTATTAGACGTCACAAGCAGAAACCCAACGGTACGTGAGAAGGTTAAATAAAAACAAACTGCAGAAAGTAAGATAAAAACCCGCGCATAAATAGAAAACAATTGTGACTCACCTCCATCTGCAGTATCCGAATAGACCCAGAAACAACCGAAAAGAAACAGTGTATTAGTCAAAACCCATCAAAAATCTTGTCATTAAATAGTTAAACAAACCCGAACCTACAACACTATTGAGATGAGCAAACACTCATTTCTCAACAAAATCTGAACTTCGGAGATTAATTGGATACAATAACTCGAAATTAGAGAGCAAATGAATGAGATTAGTATTTTCTCTTCCTCTCCAATTTCCCGCAAAATTTTATCAGCAACCAAGCAGATAGAAGAAAAGGCGAAACCAAATAGCAAAAAGCGTTACCTCTCTGTATCTAGTGAGGTAAACCTTAAGGGGGTCGATATAATCTTCAAAGCCCAAAGTAGCCATTGCCCAGAGCAAATCATCGCCATTAATTGTCTTCCTCTTCTCTCTCTGGCACTTGTCACTCGCCCTACAGACAATTCCACCCCGACATCAAAACAAAAAAGGATAATACAATTTCCAAACATAATCATGAATCATGAACAGAGTTACGAAACGGCATCGTACTCGCTAGTGATGAAGCTGATGAATTCGGAAACGCATTCCTGCACGGTCTCTTTGGCGTCCTTGGCGATTTTGCCATTAGCAGGAAGCGCCTTCTTCATGATCCGACTAATGTTAGCGATCGGAAGATACCGATCCTGCTCCCGAACGTTCGAGCGCGGGCTCTGGTCGCCGCCGCTCTCGTGGCTCCCGCCGCCTGGACTTCCCGGAGCTTCGGCCATGGAAACCCTAGCCCAACAAACACAAGAGCAGAGCCGTCACCAAGCAGAATCAAAATTAAAATCAAAATCGAAACCAGAAACCCTAGCCCCGCCATAACTGGGAGAATGAGAAAAGGAAATAGAGCGCGAGATTACCTGTTTGTATTTAGAGGGCTTTTATTTGGCGCGAGAGACTCAGATTTGTGGGGGAATTTGATCGGACGCTGGAGAAGAGAGGAGAGAGGAGACGACTGGGATGAGAGAGTGAGGTTTATCAGCACCGTTGGTTTTCTTTTTGGGGGCTCTCTCTCTGGATTTGCCTAGCTTTTTATTTTTGTATTTGAGAGATGAGAGAGAAAGAAAGAGAGAGATAGATTCCGTGTTCTTCTGCGGTTATGCTTCTGGCGTGGTCTGGTCATAACGATTAGACCACGTGTTTGGGGCCGTTGCAGGTGGATGCTACATCTGTGCGCTAGACGACGTCGTTGTGTTATCCCCCCACCTCGCTTTAGATCATCATTTGTGTGTTTGTTTGTGAGATAGCTGGATAAACATTGCCCCTGGCTACCTATGGCCTAGGCCTGTAATTATCCATCCAACCGACATGACATCGTTGCTAGTAAAAAAAAATTACAGCATCTCATTCTAAATTCCTAGTTCTTTTTTTTTTGTCAATAAATTTCGTAGTTATTAGTTCAGCGCAATTGATAGTCTAGAGTAATTCTACCGCTAACTAGTTATTAGTCTAATGATATATTTTGTCCAACCAGTATGGTTTTTAAATTCCTAATTCAGTGCAATTGATAGTATAAAGTAATTCTACCGCTAACTAGTTATTAGTCTAGTGATATCTTTCGTCCAACCAGTATGATTTTTAGTATGGTTTTGCGCAATTTGTAATGATTTCTAGAGGAACACTTAGGTTCTTTCATTTTATTTTTTTTCAAAAACATGCACGCATAAGTGTACAGAAACACTAGTAAACGGCCCTTAAGAAAATAGAAGTGTACAAAAACTCTACTAAACCGACCCGAAGAAAGTAGGAGAAGTGGTGAAATAAGACGGGTTAATTAGTGGAGAAATGTTTGGTCTGGTTAAGGTTTGTGTTAGCTCTTAATCTCATAGGTAATTCTATGTCCAATTCGTTTATTAATGTGAAAACCCACCAAGAGCCCTGGGCTCATTTCAGTTACATTCCATGCAAACCCCAAACCTTGCAAGCCCTTCACATGTAGATTGTGGCTTTAGTCCAAACGTACTAATGGCGTGACTTGGCTATAGTCCAAACTTGTAACGTGCATAGCACGTGGAGCACTTCATGCAAAGCGTGAGTTTCAAAGAACGACTAAACATGTATTATTAGCAGCCCATGGATCATTTGGGGCCATGGAGAGCATAATAACGATGAGTAAAATTATGATCTGTACACTTTTAAGTCTTTTTGCAAAGGGGTATAATGGCCATTAACAAACCCAAAAAACCCAGACCGCCCAAAGAAAAATTCAATACAGCATCCATTGTGCTAATATAATTTGCAAGATCAAAATTTGCAACTAAAATAATACCTATTTTGATCCTCTCCTAAAAAAAATAAAAATTATAATGTCATGTATACATTGCCAAGAAAATTGCACTATCGGGCAGTTGGCTGTGCGATAGACTCATCGATCGACAAGAAATTATCGGTTCCACTAAGATCCATGGAACCCAAGTTCAAGGAAGAATGAATTGAATTCCTTGATGTGTCGGAGGTACCATCTCTTGCTGCTCCAGCATCCCTTTCCATTGAGATTGCATCTTGGATTTCCTTGAGAACTTCTGAGATTGATGGCCTCATGAATCCATGTGCTTGAACACACATTAAGGCCTTCTCTGCTATCTTCCACATTGACTGGATGTCATATTCACCGTGCAGTGAGGGGTCGATGATGCCTTGAATGTCACCGCTCTCGATGTGTAACTTTGCCTGTGACAGTCATTTTCACAGTTAACAAAGGAGTCCACAATTATATCAACAAACTTGCAATGGTGGCACAAAAGTAACAGTATAAATTGAAGAGAAACTCAAAATAAATTTGGGAGCATGTCGACTGTCAGCATGAGGGTATGTGATGTCATAACACTATTAGCCTCTGAAATGGATTTAGTGGAATTGTTCAAGGAACATAATCGATAATGCACTTACAGTTAGTGATCACAAGGTTTAAATATTTCCTTGCAGTACAAGCAAACTACACTTACCCATTGGACTATGTTGCGGCAATTAACACCAAAGTTTTCATTAGATATCGCTTCTTGACCGGATATCAGCTCAAGAAGAATGACACCGAAACTATAGACATCACTCTTGTCTGTCAACTGCTGGGAGATGTAGTACCTGAACAACAATGAGGAAAGATAGAAGCAACTATAATTAATGCTCACTAATCTGGGTTACAAAATGAAATTGCAAACATAGTTTGGGTTCAATTTTGGTTGGCATGTGCATGACCGAAAGATCTCTCAGTATTACGTAACACAGAGAAGGAAAACACTGATTATAGCTGTAAACAGAAACATCCGTGGCACATTTTATTTTATTTTTTTCTGATTGCTTTTGTGAATAATAAGTCATTAAGTACAACTATTGTATTGCGTTTATAAACCTATCTCGTAAATCTGTTGTCCATCTATGACACAAATGAATGACCAATTGGAGCACTCTACCAAAGGAAGGCATTTAGTGCTTCACAAAGCAGTAATAACATATTTGACTTATCTCAATATGATGTTAGATTTGATCTCAATGAAAAATAGATATGTTTATGGAAAAGAAAGCCTTACTCAGGATCCAGATACCCTACAGTCCCCCGAACTATGCTTGACACATGGGATGCTCCATCTACTGCAAGTTTGGAAAGACCAAAATCTGAAACCTTTGCTCTCATGTGATTGTCAATTAAAATGTTGCTGCTTTTCAAATCCCGATGAATGATGGCCGGAACACAGCCTGTATGAAGGTATTCAATTCCTGAACAAGCACGAGAAAACCCATGAGTCAATTTAATACTCTATCCTTGGAGAGAGGCGCCTTCTCTGTCTGTAAAAAAGAAAAGAAGTAATAACTAACAGAAACTTTTTTAGCTTATAAGACCTTTTGCTGCATCTTCAGCAATCTCAAGGCGCTTGATCCAATTGATACTCTGTTCACGTGTTAATGGGCCTACAAACAATTCAAAACTCGTTGGCCGTCCAAATTTGAAAAGATTCATTCAATAAGTTGCAAGCTTACCATAAAGATGTTCTTTGAGAGTTCCATTATGCATGAACTCGTAAACAAGCATACTTCTTCCATCTTCTTGGCAATACCCAAGAAACTGTACCAGATTTCTGTGATGTATCCTTGAAAGAAGAGTTACCTAGATCATATAGAAGCATGTGTCAGTCCATACGATTACATTTTTTATGTCTAACAGCAATTAGTCAACCCAAAGTAGGTGGGAAATCCTTACACTTCCATGTCATACTTACATTCTGTTTTATTTTTCTTTTACTAAATTGGTAGAGGTTTCCAAGCAGTCATATGCCACTAGTTTACATTTCATCTTTCATATTAGGGGGAAGTTTGACGAAATATTTTTCAAAATTTCAACCCAAACAAAAAAAGCCAAAAAGGAAAAAAGAAGAATCATCCACAGTTCAACAAATAGAAAGATATAGACAGGGTTAAGCATTGTAAAAGAAAGAGGAAAACCTGAAATGTCAATGTAAAAAGAGGTTCCAATCATACGAAAACTAACCTCATTTGAAAATTCTCGTTTTCCCTGGTACGAATTACTGGTTAGAACTTTGACTGCAATTTCCCTTTCATCCTTCATTCTACCATAGTAAACAACTCCAAAACCTCCAGAACCTATTTTCTTCTCAAAATTTCTAGTAGCCTCTTCAATTTCGGAGTAAGAGAAGCAGTGTGCAGCTTCAGTGGGAGCAGCATCACTCTTGGAAGAGAGTAGGCGTTGCCTAGGCAGAGGACGCCCAAGTTGGTGGTCTATAGCAAGTTAGTACAATGTCAGCACGTTCAAGCAACTGAAAAAAAAAAAAAAAAAGACATGTAAACCACTAAGACTTTCAGACTCACACCTTGATCATAATATTTCTTCTTTCCTTTGCGCAAAAGTACGCAAGATACAATGGTAACTATGACCAAGACAGCAGCCCCGACTGATGTACCAATAATAATGTTTACACGGCTCCCACTTGTTTTCCCTTTTCGAAGATTAACGTTTCCAGTGTAGCTGTCAGAATTCAACATCGAGAAGCGGTGATAAGTACATTGGAGTAAGTCCTAGACAAGGCCCAGATGACTAGAATAGAGAGATAAATTAGACAAATTTGGGGGAGAGATAGATTTGATGAACCAAGATAAAGATATATCTGTGTATACTATAAACGGCATGCAGGATATAATTTAAGACCTGCACTTAGTGTAGGACATTCGATTACTATAACTGAATCAGACAAACATTTTAAGCTTTAGAATTAACATATGGCTTTCTTCTTATGTACTTCAGTTTTAGCTGTAAAAATTACCACTCACTTCAAAACCACTTTATTGAGAAGACCCAACGGCACTGTTCCAGATAACATATTATTTTGCACATACCTGAAAACATAAGATTCACCAAGATATAAGATCTTATATTCAAAGAAGCATGTCAGACATCCCTTAGAAAATAAAAAAATAAAATCAACCTGAGCAGCATAAATAAATTCATAGGGATTTTCCAAATGCTGAAATATAATAATCATTGGTCTAATTCTTTTTTCTTTTTTTTTTTCTCAAATAGACATGCAAAAGGTATGAGATATCTTAGAATATCTTTATACATATGCAAAATTTCATAATTTGAAAAACTTAAGCTATTAGGGAATGGGCCAAGTTAACATCTTCTCTCATGTGTTGCTATGTAGAGATGCAGACAAAGAGAAACATATACGTATAACTCTCTCATATCATGGACCTTGAAATGAACAAAAAAGAGGAGACTGGGGATTGAAGGTTTTGAACCCAGGACCTTCAGCAACTCGAACTCTAAACCATATTAGACGGACTGCTACAAGAGCCCAAAAACTTACGTTGTTAGGGAACAGGCCGGCAATATATATCAACCTAAGATTTGCAACACACTGACACCCACACATGAAGTCTTCTAAACACACTTATAACTTGTTCCCAAAAGCATGTGGAAGCCATGAGTTAATGCTAACCACTATTCAGTAAAATCATTTATGTAAATAATGAAATTATACTCCAAGTGAGCCATGTGACTCATTGTTTGACAAGACAACTGCTACATAGTTTCACACACATTCTCTCTCCAACTTCAGTAAATGATATGTGTGTCCCAGAAAACTTACAGTTCCTTCAAACTTGGTAGGTTCGTTAAAGAAGAAGGCAGTCCAC